TGTGGGTGCTGGGAATTGAACCCAGGTCCTCTGGAAGAGCAGTCAGTACACTTAACTGCTGATCCATTTCTCCAACTCCTAGAATATGGAGTCTTAAAAGAATGAACAGGGGGAAGGATGAAGGTTGTGATGGGCAGTGGACTCACCTTGCACCATCTCCAAGTGCACTTATATTAGCTAAAATCATGACCGTGCTCACCTCAGCCCTGAAGATAGCATTTGCTGAGCTCTCTAGTGACAGGTAGTGTATGCCACTCACAGGCAGGTGTATGAACCCTGTTCTCTAGGGCTGTAGAGCTTCAAGTGTGCGTGTGGAGGAAGAGGAGAGCGCACACGCCAGCAGTTGTATTGCAAGGTGACCTATCATTTATATTTCACTTTTGTTATTTTTTTGAAGCACAAAAAGTTTTATGTAGTCATATGTCTTTTTTTTTTTTTCCTGTTATGATGTCAGCCTTTGTCACAGTAAGGCCTCTGTTTCTGAGGTCAGGTAGACCCTTGGTTTTTTGGTTTGTTTTCAGTTTAAACATTTCCTTCATTTGTCTCTTGAGTTTTTAATTAATAAATTAATTAATTTTTAAAATATTTATTATTCCTAATCACACTGTAGTTAATGATCAACAACCTTATGACCATTGCTCAAAGGCACCAGACAAGTAGATGACTGGTGAGTCAAGGTTATAGCATCCTTGGGAAAAGCCTAGCCTTTTCATATTTTTCAATGCTTGCCTGAGCTTGCGCTCTGGGGACTATTTGTCTAGATAGCCTTAGTGCCCTACTGACCCCACAGCCTTATCCTTCTCTCCTCTGGCTTCTCCAGTCCTATCTTCAGAATGCCTGGGAATGCTAAGACATCTTGAGGCAACTTCCCATCCAATCAAGCACAGGGTAGCAATAGTGAGATTTCCTTCTGGTTAAATCCTCAAAGTAGCTCTATAGTCCAACTTTTATTAATTAAAGGATGTAGGGTGCAAGATCATATCTTCTGTATGTTTAACTATTCAACAGTCAGTCTCAAAGGGAGCACAGTGAGAGGAAATTAGTGCATTAGATTTGAGCTGTGCTAAGATTGCTTACATGTGCAGAGTTTTGTGTCCAGTAGATTGGAAAAGTCCTGTTTATTCCTGATACATGGTTTTGTGTCTCAGTCCCTCTTGATGGTGCAGTTCCCTACTCTCTTTACATCTTTGGGACTTTACAGTTATACCGTGCACGGTCCTGGCAGAGGTCTTGTTATTCTTACACCTTTTCCCTCAATTTAGCCTTTCAAGTTTATACAGTAGTAGATTTCATTTTCAGAATGATTAACATGCTGAAAACCAGACACCCGAAATTAGCACAGAAAGCTGACTCCAGCTCATGTAAGCCCTGCAGGCGATGCTGGGTATGACTTAGCATCAGAATGGTGTGACCCAGGCAGCTCAAATACAGAGATGTGGGCTGGGCCTGGTGCCCAGACCTTGAGAAAAAGATGAAACCTTAGTCATACCCTAAAACAATCTTGGTTGCTATTCTGTACTTCTGAGTGTTGGCTATAGGCCAGCCACCGCATCACTGTTAAGTACGAAGTTACTAAGTTCAGCAAGAGCAGCTAACTGAAACAAGGGACCTTACCGTATACCTTTTTTCGGGACCAGACTCTGCTTACCTTGCCTCCCGGTTATTTTGCTCCTATTTAGAGTTGAGCGAGAAGAAAGTAGAGTGGATTTTATACTGTTCTTTGCATGTTCTGAGACTAGACCTGCTGTGTTCTTCTTCACTGTCTTTAACTTTTATTGCCCTTTGCCTAACTTCACTTTTCTCATCATTTTGAACAGTTCTCTGCCTTTGAACACTTGCCCTTCTACACGAGACCCTGTGATCTACTACATCTTGTTTTCGTTGAATAATTCTTACCCTGTTGCTGACAAACTGGGACCTGTACACTTTCTCTTTCTCCTGTCGGATGGTGAAATAAACTGAGGAGGTATTGATTCTAAAGCGTCATTCCTGAAAAATCAGAATCACATTTTACCTTGGGGAATTCCACATAAGTGTTGCCACAGAAGTAAAAGATTAAAAGGAAAAGATGAGACTAGAAGAGCTACTGGAATGCCCCCAGCGTGAGAAGATGAGGAGAAAGATGAGAAAGCTCAAACGTAAGGCATTTGAAGATAGTAAATCACCCACAGAAGGGAGTGGCCAAGAATGTGAAGATGACGGTAGTCAGTGCTGTGACTCTCCAACACACGAGAGAGGTCTTGGTGCAAAGAGACAGTATGTGTGTACTGAGTGTGGAAAAGCCTTTAGTCAGAGTGCCAACCTCACTGTGCATGAGCGAATCCACACAGGAGAGAAGCCTTATAAGTGTAAGGAATGTGGAAAAGCCTTCAGTCATAGCTCCAACCTTGTGGTCCATCGGCGAATTCACACAGGACTGAAGCCATACACATGTAGTGAGTGTGGGAAATGTTTCAGTGGTAAGTCACATCTCATCCGGCACCAGGAAATCCACAGCGGAGAGAAAACATATGAATGTAAAGAGTGTGGGAAAGCCTTTAGTCGGAGTTCAGGACTTATTTCTCATCACAGAGTTCACACTGGTGAGAAGCCCTACACTTGTATTGAGTGTGGAAAAGCATTTAGCAGGAGTTCAAACCTTACTCAACATCAGAGAATGCACAAAGGAAAAAAGATTTACAAATGTAAAGAGTGTGGGAAAACATGTGGTTCTAATACAAAGATTATGGACCATCAGAGAATTCACAGTGGAGAGAAGCCCTATGAGTGTGATGAGTGTGGAAAAGCATTCATCTTGAAGAAGGCTCTTAATGAACACCAGAGACTTCATCGTAGAGAGAAACCTTATAAATGTAATGAGTGTGGGAAAGCTTTTACTTCTAATCGAAACCTTATTGATCATCAGAGAGTTCACACTGGAGAGAAGCCTTATAAATGTAATGAATGTGGAAAAACCTTCAGACAGACTTCTCAAGTTATTCTACATTTGAGAACCCATACTAAAGAGAAACCCTATAAATGCACTGAGTGTGGGAAAGCCTATCGTTATAGCTCACAACTTATTCAACATCAAAGAAAACATAACGAAGAGAAAGAAACCTTATTGTTTGTGGGCCAGGTGTGATGGCACATGCCTTTCATCCCAGCATTTAGGAGGCAGAGACAGGGAGATCCCTGTGAGTTCTAGAACAGCTAAGGCCACACAGTGAGACCCCTGTCTTAGAAAAAAAGGAAAATTGGCTCTAAGGCTAATTGCTACTTTTCTGAAAATTAGATTTTTAGTAACATTAAATTTAATTCTGCTTCTAAGAATCCATACAGGGAAAATAATAAGTGCTAAAGTTTAGCAAAAGGGATATTCGTGCCAGCATTATATATAACTGAAAGGGAGAAAAAAACTACCATAGATTATTTCATGTGCGGGATGAAACAAATGATACATCTATTCAGAGTATACCTCTGAAGCCAGTCTGTTTTTAAAGAATTTTTAATGTGTGCCATGGGGGAAATTTTGAAGAAAATGGAAAATGAAAGAATAAAATACCCAGATAAAATATTTATGCCTAGGAAAAATGGGGAAAGTGAAGAGGGCCAGACCTAAATTTCAGCAATGGTTATCTCTGTTAATAAGTTGTAGGGGATTTCTATTTTCTCCTGTGTACTTTTCTAGACTTTCTAGATTTTTTACAATGAGAGTGTTACTTTTATATTTAAGAAAACAGTATATTTTAAATATAATGAATATGTTCTCATTTTTATTCAGTGGTGGTAGGAAAAGTGCCTATTATATAGTCTTAAAAAGCTTGGGATTCACCCTAATACTGGCACTCCACTTCTTACTAGTAAAACCAGTGCAGTTTTAAAGTAAGTGGACTCTATGATCACTGTTAGGTTAACAGAACACAGCAAAAGACATTAGTTCACCTTCTCTTTCTGCATAGTAGAATGATCATACATGATGGACAGCTACCCTTCCAGCAAATATCTAGACAATTAAGAAAAATTTTTTTTTCTTTTAATGAACTAGAGGAATTGTAGGCTCAAAAAATAGGAAGTGGAGAATTTTGTCTTCATCATGTTATTTGGGACTGAGTAGGTGAAATACAGTTAGGTTGAGAGAGCTGTGTCCTGATCCACTTGCTGAAACCCAGCTTAAATACTTTGGACAAATGACTTCACTACTCAGATTTCTGGTTTACCTCAAAGGGGTACTGTGAGGATTAAGTGAGATGATGCCAGTGATGTATGCCAAGACTGGTACATGGCAGAAACAAACAGCTCCAGTGAAAGTTACTGGAGCCATATTTCTAAACACTCCCAAAAGAAAATAACTTAAGAGATATTTAGCATTTAGCATATTTTCAGGTGTAATTAACAGGATTCCAAGTAATAATAACTTTCATCTTTAAAATGTCATTGTTTCTGAAGAGGTCATCTAGAATTAAGCAGCTCATCCTTTGTTTTTGTAACTCAGCAGTTCATCAGACTTGCAATAACTCCATACATTCTTCATCAAATTGCTTTTCTTGTTCATTATCTCATGGTTTCAAGCCACTGGCCACAGCTGCATTCTTCTTCACACAGCTTCCCCAAAGATAGGACTGAAGGAGAGGAGCAGAACATTCTTCTATAGTTTATTACTATTGAAAAAAAAAATGTTTCCCCAAAGTGGGGGGAGAATGCTGATTAATTAATGTGACAAATTTGACTGGATTCCTAACCCCTGGGGAATTGAACCTGGTGCTTCACATACTTGCCAGGCACTGTACCACTCATTTGTAACACCCTGATCTTGATGGGAAGCTTTCAGGAAGGTATTAGCCTATCTTTAGTCACTATCAAAAATTTTTATTCCTTAGTTCAAAATCCACCTAACTATATTTAGAATCTCTCCATTACTAATTCCTCCTGTATACAATAAATTCCTTAAGTCAATACTGTTTGTCTCATGCACCTATGTCCTTTCAGAAGTTACTGAGGATATGATATCTCATTTAATTCTGCCTATAATTTTGTAGGAGAATTGAATTTCCATGATGTTAGTAACTGGCTAGTCAGTAGCTGGAGCTAGGATTTGATCTCAAATTTGTCTTTGAAGTTCATGTTTTCCTAATTATACAAAGGATCTCTGCTAACTGGTGATTCCATATGTGAAAGGGAGAACAGACGCTCTCCTGGGAAGTCACCTCTATGAATCTGGACAGTTACTTGGCTGAGGTTTGACAAGGAAAATTCTCTTCTCTGAAATTTGTGGCCTGTTTTTATGCCTCATAATTTAGTTTTCAGGTTTATATGTTTCTTGCAATGAAGGAATGTGGGAGTTGTGTGTTTATTTCAAAAGGGTTTGTTTGGTTTTTTTTCTATTTTGATAAGATAGCAGCTTACATATCATTTTATGATACAATAGTCCCTCTGCATACTTACTCAAAGAGTTTTCAGGGTCCAGAGCAGAACTGCTGCATTCAGAGGCATGCAATACTGAAGAGAGTTGCTAATGCCTTCTGTATCGCTGAGCAGATTTCCTGTAGTTGGTATGTCATCATTTTTCTGTCTGTGACATAGCGCCTGAAATTACTTCAAATAGATTGTTTTTATGTAAAGACCTTGTGACATTTAAAAGTAAATGTTTCCTAGAAAGGATCGTGTGCCCTCTCATCTCTGAAGGTTTGAATACTGAACATGTTCGTGTTTTCTGCTGCAGGAAGACTGAGATTGTAGTCTCTTGAGGTGTCTGCCTTGAGCTGTAGGAGTAAATGTAGACAGCAGTCCCTACAAGGACCTGTCAGATAAATACTCTGCTGTATGAGTTGAACTGCTCACTCATTTTCCTCAAGACTTTCACCTCTCGAGTTGGACCATGCAGCCCTGATTACTCTTTCACAATAGGCTGTGAATTAGGGACAATCTGAATTTTTCTTTTCTTTTGTATTTATTTTATTATTATTGTTGTTATTATTATTATTTGCCTCATGGAACCCTGTGCATTCCCCAAGGACAGAAATTCGTGCACAGTTCTTCATTTTCTAGGTTTGGTCTTCTTCAACCCACACACCTCTCTTCTGTTATTCTCCATTTTCCATCAGAAATGAATTCTGTTGAAATAGGCATCATGAGACTGTGTATTGCTTGACTTGACTTCATCTCTAGCCTCTTGCATTGCCCAGTTTCTGTCCCTAAAGAACATGAAGAGGTGGTGGTTTAGGCCACAAATGACCTGACTGTATAGACCACTATAAGGAATAAAAGTGTATATGCTTGTCAGAGTTGAGAAGAAAGTGGGTAACAAAATATATTTTATATAGCTGTGACTAAAGGGAATCTGTAAGTCAAAGCTCAAATGTGTTCTCCCTGTGCTTAGAGATTTTTTTTTAATAGTGTGTACTGCAATTTAGATGGTGCATACTATACGTCTTAATTGGAAGAAAATTGAAACCAAAGAGCTGAGTAATTGTATGTAAACCACATGAGGCCAAGTTTTATTGCTGCTCTTCATCCTCAGTGACAAACCTCCATTCTAAAATGTTCAGTGTAAATAAAAAACAATGCTCACATTGTTAGAGTTTTTTTTTAAGTTAGCAAGCTGACTTCAATCACCACTAATATTATAAAATCAGAGTTGTAACATCCTTTTTTGCAGGAAGTAGTGATTCCTCAATAAACATCTTTTCTTATAACCTTGTCCTCTTCTTTTTGCCCCATTAAGAGTGGAAAGGAACCAGCTTGAGCCACTGTAAGGGGCCTGCTCCTCTTAGAATGAAGAAGGGATTGCTCCAATATGAAGTTGCTTTTCATAGCTCCCTGAGTAGACCTCTTAAGCCCTGAGATAAAACCATGTTTGCACTGCTCTCTCGCAGCCTTATGTGGGTAGAGGTGACTACAGTACAGGCCATGGGGCATCTTTGTGGAACAAGTGTACATCAAAATACACCCTCACCTGTAGAGTAACGATTTCCATTGTTTTTCTGGTACCCAAAAGTAAAGTATATGTAAAATGTTTTGGATTGGGAAGGTCCTCAATAACATTTCACAGAAAAAAAAAAAAAAAAAAAACCCAAAGCCAAACTATTTGGGGTCTCTCTGATCAGTAGTTTCAAGAGTTGTGACTGACACCCTGACTTCACTAACAGTCACAGCAGGTTATAAGATTGGAGGGTTGTCAGCTTCTTTGTGTTAGTTTGCAGGCAAGCTGGCATCGTTAGATCCTGATTAGCAGCACAAGCTCCATTTTGTCCCAGTCTGCCATTCTGCCCAGAGCTGCTACCAGTGATTTCCTGAGGCTAGGCTGCAGCACCCCCTCCCTCCTCTCACAGATGTAAATCTCGAGCGTTCAACCCCATTCTGATTGGTTGGCCCAGAGCCTGTCCCGACCACCAAACCACAGAACTCCCTGATAGGTTGAAGGTCCCCAACTATATTACATTATGATTGGATGGGACTCAGGAGCTGTCTGTTTGTGGGTTTTTTCCCCCCCCTTTAAAACTGGCTGCTGGGCTGGAGAGGTGGTTCAGAGGTTAAGAGCATTGTTTGCTCTTCCAAAGGTCCTGAGTTCAATTCCCAGCAACCACATGGTGGCTCACAACCATCTGTAATGATATCTGGTGCCCTCTTCTTGCCTGCAGAGATACGTGCAGACAGAACACTATACATAATAAATAAATAAATCTTTAAAAAGACAAAAAAAACAAAACAAAAAACAAAAACGGCTGCTGCCCCTTCCTCCAGGACGTGGTTTGGAGTCTGAACCCTGCTGCCTTTCTGATATATCAGTTTTTCTAAATACATTTTTGGCTTGCTTGAACCTGTTGTTTTGTGGTGGACTATTTCTGGATTCTCGGACCCCAACAGCATAACTTGTCTGTTCACGGATAAACATTCACAACAGTGAAGAGAAGATCCGCTCCGATCCAAGTCCTGGCTATACCACACGGCCCCCCTTTCTCCATGAGTCTGACCTCAGAGTTCAGAGTGATCTGCTTCAGTGAGGATAAAAGCTTAGGTAGGCGAAAGAGCACTTGCCTTGGATTTCCAAGTCTTGTTGGCAGAAAAAGTACTCAAGCTTATTAATCTTTAGTTTCCAGTATTAGGACAATATTGTCTGTCTTAAAGGATTCTTGTAAAGGAGCAAAGTTAAGTGTGTGAAAAAGGCAGACATGTAACAAGCGATGTTTATACTCTTAAGTTTTTGTTTGTTTTGACATCCTAGATGTTCTGATTTGAAATTTAGCTTAATCTAAATGTGAAGGTCCTTGCCTGGAAACAGCTTTGTCTCTGAGCCCACGAGTCATGGAGATGCAGCTTCCTAGAGTCTCAGGATTGGGGTGGTATGGGGGGAGGGGGGAGGCTGGGCCATTATTCTGGGCCTTGTCTTCTACTTCCTGTGTTGTCTGCTGGCGGCCAGACTCAGGCTGGACCCCGAGAGTTGGAGAGCAGGGTGAGCGCAGGAAGTGGACACCAAGGGCCGGGAGGGAGGGGCCTCCAGCAGCGGGCTTGCGCTCTGAGGGCCTCTGTCATCACAGCTCCAGGGATCAGGCAGGAGGATCACAAGTTCCAGGTTGGACTTGGCCGCTTGTGTCAGGGTGGCGGGGAGAAAGCAAGAGTGAGCTCAGGAGGCTGGTTCTCGACATCAGCTCAATCTCTGCCTTTCCAGGCTTCTTGCAGGCTGGCAATGCCTTCAATGTTTGACATGTCCCTAGGGCAGTGGTTCCTAGTCTTCTGGAGATAGATTCGTTTTGGTGTTTAGGGATGTGCTCATTGTCATCCAATTTTATAACTTAATGGAACTGAAAAAAGTAAACCATTGTCTCTACAGAGGAATATATTTCATCACTTAAGTACCAAGGCTATAAACTGAGAAAAATGTTGTCCTGTGCCAAAAGTCTTTGCCAATCTGGCAATGACTATAATCATTTCTCTTTTTTGGCCTAACAGATTAAAGCTTTATCTTGGACTGGTGATTGGAAACAGGTGTCACATGTCTCATCTTAAAAATGGCATTATTTTAGACTTTGGGGCTTAGGATTCTTAGATTTATATTTTGCTAACATGCAGTAGCCTGGATGCTCATGTGTGAATCACTCAGCTTCTCAACCTTTAATTGCTGCCTCATAAACCCTTTTTGAAAAGCAAGACAAGTGTGCAGTTTGTTTTGATCTGCAAATGTGGAACTCTAGGAGCAGGTGAGAGGGCTCAATATGAAAAGGAGCTTGCCTAACCAACATCCCAGAACCCACTTATGAGTGAGTACATACCATGTTTGTCCTTCTGGGT